GAATAATAATAAATAATAATAATAATACCCCGATTAAAGTACACAGGCTCTGAGCACTTTACAAGACAATACCATGTACAACAATAACATAACACGTTGTGTTTTTACTAAAAGAAAATCCCTCCAAATGTTCATCTTACTAATTTAACCTTTTCACTGCTGAAATGTATATATCCATCTAGAGTAAAATTTGTACAGACAAGATAAAATTCCTTAAAGAGATATTTTCACCAAAGATTTACTTAAAAAGTAAACAGTAGCACACGTTGTTACTGTAATATCTCCAGACATTTTCCTTATATGAAGTTGTATGAAAATGGCAGAGAACATAAGCTGGAATAACACACACACCAGTGCATACGTCCATGCAGCAGTGAAGAGGTTAAAAACAGAAAAGACTTCAGCTGACATTTATTGAATGAATCAAAAGATTTGATCTCTCTTAAAGTACTTGACAAAGCATTCCAGATCTTGGGGCCTTGGTATTCAAATGCCCTTTCACCCTTTGTTTTAAGTTTCATAGATGATAAAAGAAACTTCTCTTTGTCAGCTATTTACCTTAAACTGCGAGTTGGAATGTACAGTCTTAACAGATTTGATAAATATGATGTCACATTATCATTCAAACATTTGTGACATAGGGTGGCCAACTTGTACACAATTATGTTTTCAATAGAAAGCCAATGCAATGTCTGTAAAAGAGGTTTAGCAGAGTCTCGCTTTGGTTTCCGTAAAACTAAACGTGTAACATTGTTATGGACTTTGGACAGTTTGAAGTCTTTTAACTTTCTCCTGTGATACTCCTGATAACAAGGAGTTACAATGATCGAGTCTTGATAAAACTAAACTAGTTATTAATAAAGCAGTATACTTATTATTGATCAGATGACGTATTTTACTATTTTTTCTTATTTCTAAATACATGCAGCTGATCAGATGATTGGCATGAACATCCAGAGGTGTTATCATTATCATCATCATTGCCTTTCTCACTCTGCACCAGGGTATAGGCCACGGACAAACACCTTCCACCTTTCTCTACCCAGGGCTAGCCTCTTGATGTTATTCCACGTCTTCCCATCCTAGGTGTTATACTGAGTATATATTTAGCCTCACATTCATATTGTTTATATTACTGTTCATATGTATTATGCACGTGACTGTAAGCCTGCGTGAGTATGCATGTTCGTGTATGTGTGTGTGTGTGTGTGTGTGTGTGTGTG